TTGTTGAACATTCATTCATTGAGCACCTGCTATCTTTCAGGCACTGGGGAACAAAGGCAAGTCAAACACTGAGCTCCCACTTCAGGAGCATACAGACTCCAGGATGAGAAGAACAAAAAAGGCCATTTTAATGCAAAGCTGTGAGTGCAATGTTACTATGCATGGGGGTGGAGGGGGGAAGAATAGTGGAACACAAAGCACAGAAATTAACCCAATTTGCAGAGGTGGGGCTGTCACAGAGGCCCTGGGACAAGATGACGTCTGAGTGGAGGCTTAAGGATGAGTAGGAGTTGGGGGGAGGCACAGGAGTGACAGATATCTAGGCAGCAGGAACAGTATCTGCAAAGGCATGGGTGTGAGTAACAGCAGGGTGTGGTGAGTGCCAGGAACCACAAGCAGTGTGGTATTGTAGGATTTTAAACAGGAGGGTGAGAAATGGGAGGGGTGGGTGGAACATGCTAGAGCAATAGGGCGGAAGCAGAGCGGGGCATTTCCATAGAGAGGACCTCGGATTCCGTCCCATGGAGATGGAGAAGCCCGGCAGAGGCCGAGCGCTGGAACGGCACAGATGATGTTTTAGAAAGATCCCTCCACGGATGAGTAGGTGAACAAGCTTGTCCGAGTCAGGAAGAGCAGCGCGGGCACCGGGTATCTCAGCCAGAGCAAGAGCTTCTACAGGACCAGTGTTGAGAAGGAGGGAGAGGAATGGCTCAACAGCTCAATGCCAACACCAAGGAGGCAGAGTTGAACAGACCCAGGACTGCCTGGCTACGGGTGGCAAAAGGGAGAAGAACCGTGGATAACGTACACATTCTTCCCCTTGGTAAAATAAAATAAGAGAATTCAGGCAGAAGAGACGTTGTCTTGGGATGGTGTGGAGGGGTTAAAGAGGATAAATTTATGACACATGGAGTTTGAAGTGTGAAATACAAGCTGGAATGTCGGTCTGGAAACTCAGAGCAGCCTGGATTAGACAGAATGGTTTCAGAGTCAACAGCATCATAGAAACTCATACAGAATGTGAAGACTGCGGCAAGCGAGGAAAAGCCAGAGGCATAGCCAAGGCCTTAGGAAACAGTGATGCCTAACCGGATGACAGAAGAGGGGGTGCTTAAAAGGATGAAAGCTGCGAGATGTAGCAGGGGAAGGTCTACCAGGCTAGGGAAAGAAAAATGTAGCCTTCAATTACCAATTAGGGCATCACAAGTGTGCGTGATGGTTAGACTTCTTGGTCACAAACTGAACCCACTCAAGTGACTTTCAGCAGAAAGGTATTTACTAGAGCAGAAGTAGCAAGGACAAACACCCACCCCTGCCACAGGACTCTGAGTGGGAAAGCCCCACTGCCACCTGCGAACAGGTACCACAGCCTTCCCCAAAGCTGCCCCAATCAGGAAGTGCTTCCGCCACAGTGCCTATAAGAAGAGCCACTCTTGCCCAGGGCAGTCTTATTCTAGGATGACCTTGCTCCACGCCAAGTCACTAAATGCTCACCTTCAGATTTCCAAAAGCCAACTGTGCCATGACTGAGGTTGTCCACACGAGACTTCTGTGCAGAAGCAAGAATCAATGAAATGAAGATGGAGTCCAAAAAAAGCAAGAATAATCTTTATTCCTTGGAAACACATTTGTAAAAATGTTTATCAGCAAGATGAAAAGATGCAGAACACATTTATTTGTATGCAGCACATACACTGAAGAGGGAAACATCTGCCCAAACAGAATACACCAGTAAACAAACACCTTGGGGAGGGACTGTGGGTGGCTGACTCCATTGTGCAAAGTATGAAGCTCATTCTCTCCTAAACAGACTTTTGTGGTAACTGAAAAGATCTGATTTTAGCAATAAAATAGCTCAAATGATGTCATTACATCTTTTAAAGGACTTCACACAGGCCAAATTGCAATTACCTCTACAAAAGTGGCCCAAGAATGAATTGATTTCACAAAAACCCTAATGGAAAAATATTTCAGTCCTGCCTCTTGAAAGCAGAGATGTTTAACTCCTGCTTTGAAACGAGGAAAATAAATATTTTGGTACAAATTTTACCCTAAAAGACAACACGTTGATTTCTAGTTCTACAAAAAGACTGGGGCAATGCCTATTCTACACTGTTCTTCAGACTGCTTTGGCACGATTTCAAATAAAACCTTATCTGCTTTCATTTGAGCCATAAATGCATCATCTCGAATGCATGTTGCTTTTTAAAGGAGTGACGTCCAGGGTAAAATAACAATCCCCCTATCCTGACAGCGTGGATTCTGCAATCATGCGCGTTAGCAGCACCGATCATTAAGACATTAAAAATCATTCTTGTACTTCAGCAGCAAAGTCTATCACGACAGATGCTATGATTAGTACAATCGCTAATGTTCAAGGTGGCTAAACTGCTTTAAGATATGAAATTCAAAGACTCCCTGTATTTATATAACATCTAATAAGTTACATACTCTCTTTAGTTTCTATAAAGGGGTAACCCTCTGCTGGAGAAGGGGATATTGCAGTTTTCATTTTAAGGAATTTAAATACACATCCTCAGCCTAAAAATAATTAAATCTAAATAGATCACAGGATTTAGGACCTTGGAGATCACTCAATCCACCCCACTCTTTTCCAGATGGGGAAATGAGGCCGAATACAGGGAAATGGCAAACCCCTGCTCACACAGTGGTGGGGGCCAGGCCCTGGCAATCTCCAGCCCTCCGACAGTACTGTGTGCCAAATGCCTTCCCAAGTGTTTCTGGTTTTACTTGGCCCCATTAATTAAATAAGAGTATCAAGTATAAAGCAGTATTGACAAACACAGACAACTCCAATTTAAAATCAGAATATCGATTCCTGAGCCTTCAACTACCTTCATTTTTCTTGAAACTGCAGTCAATAGTAAATCACGACTAGCTATTGTGGCTATCCTCAAATACTTCCCCGGATGACTGGACACACCGTTCAGACCATTCCTTAAAGACCCTTGAACAAACGCACCCCTACGTGATGCCCAGACACTCTGCATGGAATGCAACTGTGATGGCGAATGGATGGAGGGAAAATGCTTCAGTCTCTCAGAGGGCGGTCATGAGTTTATCTCGGTACACCATGCTCTGCATCCCTCCCAGGTTCTTCTGGTTCTGGTCATGGACATAGTCCAAACGGCTGTCGTCTCCACTGGCGGATGCCTTCCAATGAGACCTGTCATCGTGCAAGGGTGGCCTGTTGTGTGTGCAGAGTGAACGGTTAGCGGGAGAATGGAAGAAAATTTAGAGATGTGAGTGAAGCAACACAAATGCAAAGGAACTGGGCGGGGGAAGCCATGAATGGAGATGGCTTACGAAGGGAAGGGAATGGGTTTTCTATGTGAGCGCTTAAAAATTCCCGAGGTGGATCGTCCATTGACTTCTGAATAGAGAAAAGCTGTGTCTAGGCCTGAGTCATCATCCCTAAAGGGTGTCTGAAGGTCAAGTCAGCTGGGGAATGCTGGGTAAGGGGGGGAATGCTTCCTTCACTGCTGAAACGTGCCACTGACAGCAGCATTTGCCAAAAACTGTGGGCTAGTGAACTCTTTCAGGACTATCTCTGGAGAGCTAAAAATTTAGTGGACAATGGAATTGAAGGAGAAGAAAATTCTGAAAATCCATACATAGTTTTTGCATAATATGCTTTTCCAGGAACTTTTGGGAGACTCAGCTCATGTGGCAGATTTCAAAAATTTTCTTGCTCCAAAATAAATGCACATTTCAATTCCATTTTCTATGAACCTTTTAAGTCCCCTTGCATACAAACTGCTGGGCCCTACCCCAGCAATTCTGGGCAGGAGGGCTGGGACAAGGCTGAGAATTTGCAGCAGGCTCACAGGTGACGTCGAGGCTGGCAGCCATCAGGGCCCGGCAAGGAGCCCTGGCTGCAGCTGTCCTCAGGTCGCCTGTGGTGAAAAGCTGGGCTAGGTCACGCACGGTTCAGAAGGAAACTGACGTGCAAAGTGCGCAAGACTGATGGCAAAATTTCCTAAAAGTCCCGTTAATAAAAACAGCACTTCTAATGAATCTCTTTTGTTTCTCACATCTGGAAAATAAACTGTCTTTGAGATACAGAAAGATTCAGAATTATTACTCTACTAATCTAATCAGTTTCAAGAGGTACCTGAGTATCACGTGTTTCTAATAAAACGGCATCGCTGGGTCACTGGACCCCCAACTTCTATTAAGCTTCTAATTGAGCCTCGCTCTAAGTGGACTACGTCCATCACCCCATTCTCTGCACCTGCTCCAGGAGCAAGGCAACCTCACCTTCACGCCAACTGAACTCGCCAATTCTAATTGCGAAAGAGCTGGACACAGACAACACCAATGGAGAGTGAGCTCAAATCCAACTCTTAAGGAAAACTTTCAAGCTTAAGTATGAGCACAGCACAGCTGATGCCAGTAGCCCTAGGAAGGATGGTGGGAGGTGAGAAGCAGGGGTCCGTCCACCACCCTGGGGTCACACCCCACTGTTTCTGGGAATGTGTTTTACTGGAACACAGCCACGCCCTCCTGCTGCCATGCTGTGTCCGGGCTACAGTGGTGGGGTCGCGTGGTTTTGTAGTTGCAACCGCGACCATAAACCTATGGTCCTTTCCCGAACAACTTTGCTGAGCCAAACACAAACCCTGACCACAGGCACCACCACAACAATCCCTGAGCTCTGGGCACATGTGAAGTAAACCAGTTCTCAGGACCAAAAAGCGTTACTTAGAAATTCAACGTCACGTCTCTGAAATACAAAACCAAGCCAGACGCATCTGAGGTTAAAGTGACTGTTTACAGGAGCATTTCCGTTTTATTTCACACACTTGCTTTAGTTAAGACTGGGCTCGTGGCGGCTTCCTTTGCTTTGGGAAAGGTTCTCGCCCCTGGCACGAGCACGCCGCCTTCCAGGATGCTCCTGATGGAGACTTCCCGCTCCTGGCCGCGTGGGATCCGGACTTTTTTGGGGAGGGCAGAGCTGCGTGAGCTCCAGCACTTACCTGACACCTGGGGAGTGCGGATGCCACCGGGGCTGGCTGGGGTGGATGTTAGGATGGTACTGAGGCTAGAAACAAAACACCAAACCGGATTACTCGGTGATCTTTGGGTTTCAATGGGCTTTATTCACTGGGGGCAGGGGGGGCTGGGAATCACGGACAGGCTACAGCCAAGCCCTCCGTTCCCAGGATCGCGTTTCCTCTGCCAACAAAGGCTGGGGGGCTGGCACCCAGCACCTGCTTCTCGGTGTGCCCCGGCGAAGCATCCCCCAGCCTGCCAAGGCAAGGTAAGGGGCCAGGACGCCAGGGGGCTGGGAGGCCAGGAAAGGTTCGGGGTGATTTTTCTCTTCACTAACAACTTTCTCCATGGCTGAAACTATGACAACCAAGAGAATGGCTACGTCGACACGCAGATGGAGATTGGGACGGACGCTAGGCAGCAGGGCCACAGATGCTTTACTTTTTTTCCTTTTCTCCCTGATGTAAGCAATCAAAACCATTTTCTAAAATGCAATTTAAAAGAAAGAAAAAAAAGCAGCCAGAGCACTTATTATGTCGACAACATAGGAGGCAGGAGGAGAGGGAGGAACCATGGAAGGACAGACGGACGAAAGGAAGGAAAGCTGTCGTGTAGCGGGGCCAGGCCCAGGCCGGGCAGCGGACTGCCTTGCCACTTGCAGCCTGCAGAGGGCAGCGATCGCAGACACTGGCGGAAGCCCTGGGTTCTCCAAGCTAAACTTTCTGTGGGGCAAAGGAGGCCCTCCAGACACTTAAGCCACAACAGTCTGGCCACCATTAATCTTCTAATTATTTTGTCCCCTCCTTCTCCTTCCCCTGCGACTTTGATTAATAGGCAGTAGCCTGCTCTGTGGTACAGAAAACTCTCAGCAATTCTTCTGATCCACTTGTCATGGGCCCATGAGGCCCTTCCTGCCTCGTCAGTGTCTCAATGGCCTCTCCTGCTCCAAGGCAGCTCCACAGCAGCAGAGTCTGAAGCAGCCACGGGAGGACGGTGGGCTGCAGAACGTCTCGGCAACAGAATTCCATGGGTACAGACTCCCACAGGTGCAGATGACCTGCCCAGAGCCAAGCTGCTCCAGGTGTTTGGGTCACAGAGAATGAGAGACCCAGAGCTGAGCCCTCAAGTCCAAACAGCCAAATCAGACCCACCAGAGACAGGTGGGAAGCTCAACCACACATGTGTAAAGAGGAGGTCCCAGAACCCTCCTTGGCCACCTCTGGTAGATTATTCAAGTTTCCTGCTATCAAGAAGGATTTTACTGTTAACCCAGGTGGTTCTCCACTGGGCAGTTATGTCCCTCCGCGGACAACTGGAAATACCTGCGTGTATTTTTGCCTGTCACAATGACAGAGCAAAAGGGAAGCTACACATCCTGTAATCCCAGGGACAGCCCCAAACGATGAGGAACCCCCCCATCCCACCCCGCCGCCCTCCCAATGACAGCAATGACCTCAGCAGCCTCAGCCCACCCCTGGCAGCTGGCTAACCCTGCCGTGCACAGCCCTTCCCAGCTCCTCCTCTGTCTGCTCACCCCCACACAGTGACAGAACAGCACTAGGCCTGGCCAGGTGCAAAGCACCAGTGTTGGCCAAAGATGTTGTGAGAACAACGTCTCAAGAACAAGGACTGTGGCTCCGATCTCGGCAACACTCTCGAGGTTCACTCTGAGCCAGAGAGCAGTGAGGACGGGACGGAAGGCAGCCGGAGGCTCCCGGGGAAGGGGCGGCACGCAGCTGGGGCTGCCCTGCTGGGCTTTCCTTCTCTCTCCCTCTCCCTCTCCCAAGCATGGATCATCTGTCAGCCAACAACCACCTGAGAATCCCGCCACCTAGAAGCATCCTGTGAATAAGAAGAGCCAAGAACCCAAGGAAGCCGAGGAGGACAGAAGCGGGGACACTTCTCCTTCCAAGTTCAAAGCACTTTCCACCTGCTACACTCTGGCCCTTGCAGTCATGAGGAACTGGATTTCACCTTACCCAAGTCAACGGCTACAGAATTCTTCTAAAGACTCATATGGCAACCTCATAACTATAATACAATGGGATCTTGCCTCCAGGTAAGCAATGAGAGATCATCAAAGCAGATAATCAGAAGGCTCGAAAGTGAAATGGCAGATGGAATCACTCTGGTACTGAGTGACATTCAAAGCCAGACTGGGGACAGGGCACGGAAGCCAGGGAGAGTAGTATCCCTCAGACACTCCCACTCATTCAGGACCATAGTGGGCCCCGAGTGAGAAATCATCAGACATGGACGGCACAACAGGCACAAAGAAATGACTGGCTGCGTGGTGGGGTACACATTGCCAACCCAGAGCCCCCTGCCTGCCCGGCTGCTCCTCCGAGCCCCTGTCCGAGGCTCGGCAGTTCCCCGGATGCCCAGCTTCTGCCTCTTTGGTCTCTCATCTGATCTCTCCAGGGTGAGACCCAGGCCCTGGATACTTTTCCTAAAGCTGCTGGATGCTGAGAACATGCAGCAGGGCTGAGACACACCAGGACTGGCGGCTGCCAGGAGAGGAGATCCGAGAAGGCCGTGTGCAGGCGGTGGCTTCGGAGTGGGCCTTTGGAAGATATTTTAGAGCAGGGATGGGAGGCAAAGGAATTCCAGGCAGGCGAGCATGGACAAGGAAGTGGTGGGAAGAAAGCATGGGGCAACAATTATGTAATTCTCTGTGAGCTGAACATATGGCGTGTGATGAGAAATGGTGAGAAGCAAATGCAGAATGCAGGAGCCGGGTTGCACAAGGCTGTGAATGGCCAGAGACAGCCACCCACAGTGGCTGAGGAGGGACTGGCTCGATCCAGGCTGGGCAGTGGTCCACATCTGTCATGCGACCACCGACTTTCATAGTGACGTGTCACGTTTGCCACCAAGAACTTCAAAACGAATTAAAAGGGAGGGATGAGGCTGGTTTCTTTAGGGGGTGGAGGGGTGATGCCCAGATATTCAGTTGATTTTGCGGAACATTGGTCTACAAAAAATAAAACACGTGTCTCTTCTGCAGAATCTGTTACTCTGACATTCCAGTGGGTACTGTAAAGTCCGAGCAAAGGAATGCGGGATTTAACATTGCCCAAACAGCTGACCGAATCAGCGTTTCCTGGGGACACGTCTCCAGGGCCTCATGTCCCCCAGGCCCAGGACACAGCCTGGCAAAAAGCCGCCTCCCGGGACTGCTGCCCAGAGCTTGTGTTTGACCCCACACCCCGAACCCAGAAATAGAAACTTCCAGTCCCGATGCCTGCTCAGTGACAAGGCTGAGAGAAACTGGCAGTTGGGGTCACCCAGAGACATCAGGGGTCACCAGGAGAGGGGGTCTGCACTGGCTGTTCCCGCAAGAAAACAGGCAGTGTTATTGGTTCTTCCAATCTGATTATCAACTATTCCTTCTGGGAAATTCAGAAACTTCGGGAAAATCTTTAAAAGCAGTATCTCACCTGGTAATTATGGACTTCAGGATTTGCTTTAGAGCTAAAAAAAAACAAAAAAAAAAGGAAAGAGACAAAAAGAAAAGCATAACTTAGGTCGTCAAGTGGCATTATTCCCGATTTATTTAACAACCATCACTACTCTCCCTGCTCCACTAGGGGTTTTCACATACCCTTTCATTTCGGTCACTGGCTGCTTAAATGAACACCTAACTGGGCAAACCACAAACAGCAACGTTCATTCATCCCCTCAAAGCTCACAAATGGGAACACGCAGGTAATATTCCAAATGGCAGCCATCATGCCAAAAAAAGGAGGTCTTTGCAGGTGGGCCAAGCACAGAGTTTTTGCTCCTGGTTCAGGCGGCCCTGGCACTGCAGGACAGCACCCAGAAGCTCCAGGTTCATGCAGCTGCAGGGAGGGTCATCTCCCAGGAGGCACTGTGGAGGGAGCCACACATGGGGCTCTTGCTATTGGCCACGCCGCGGCTGACCTGGCCACCACGCTGGAACGTTCCCTCCCCACAAGGCTATGTGCTGGGAACTCCACATCTGTTACTATTTAATCCCTACCACAAGGCCAGGAGGTCAACCATGTTTCCCAGCACCTCGTCTGACAGATAACAGAGCAGTTGCCTAACAGAGAATTAGGAAACCTGCTCAGGGTCAGCTGGCTGGTGAGTGGCAGAGCCAGGGCTAGAACCCGTATCTGCCCATCCCCGAAGCCCATCTTCTTCCCAGCACATCAATGGGTGTGCACCGAGGAACCAGGGAAGGGTTTGGGACTCTTCATGCATGATTCTACTTAGGAGGAATCTTAAATATAACCACTCAGGTTAAAAAAATATAGACAGATCAGTGTGGACACGGATGGAGCAAGTTGGTGTGAAAAACAAAGCACCATGTCTGAAACAGGAGCTCATTATCTGCGAGAAAACCCACAAACAGGCACACTCATTGGGCAACGGCGGTTGCTAGGGTGGTGTGCTGGAAACCAAGGCTTATTGCTCCTGCAGCAATGAGAGGGCGCCGTCACTGTTCTGAGTCTCGCCTGCGGTGTAAATGCCTCGTGTTCCCGTTTTCACAGAAAGGCACAGAGCCAGGCGCTGGGCCTGGGCAGCGCCGCCTGCACGGCATCAGGAGGCTGAGTGTCCTGCGAGGTGCAGTTTCTGGTGGCACTTCTGCAGTCCACGGCACCGCTTCATCCCCGGCTCCCAGAACAATCCCACTCCCCCTCGGGGATCCCGCAGGCTCCGAAGAGCAATCGAGCAGCTGCAGCGGCTGGCTATGAGCTCATTTGTTCCTAAAGGGTATATTTGCTGGGGCCTTTTTTTTTTTGGTGGAGTCTTTTTTATTTTTCATTTTGTTTGTTTTGGTTCCCAATATATAATCTCCAGGAGTCAATAAGGGGGAAATGTAATTTTCTTAGGGAAAAACAAACAAACAAACAATTACCTCCTTAGAGAGCAAAAGAAAGAAATCCTGTAACTTACAAGTCCCTGCAAATGAAAAGCAAGACCTCCTGCCAAGCTGAGAAAGGTGCAAAGGTTTCTGGGCATGCCACCAGCCAGAGGGAGCCCAGAGAGAGGGGGCAAACGCAGGCAAACCGCCTAGCCAGGCAAGGACGCTGCAGCTTCCCCACCATCCCCAGGGGCAGGGGTGGTGCATGGCAGTGCAACAGGCCCTGGACCCTGCTGTGCACTGCCCCTGCCCCCTTCACTAGCTGCTGACACTGCAACCCAGGGACAAGAGGCAGAACAGGGACCCCTGGCAGAATGGTGCAGCTAACACCATTTGCAATCAGAAAGGTGAGCCTGGGTCGAGGCGATGATCTCAGGGCCCAGTCGTGTTCTCTAGATCCTTCTGAGGCCTGCGCTCCTTGGAGCTGCCTTGGTGCCCTAGAGGAGGGGAGGTGGATGCACAGAAAGGCACTGCCTCTCCCTGTCCACCTGGCTTCATCCAGAATCGCCAGGCTTTTGTCAGGTCATGCATATGTGTGTGTGTGTGTAATCCAACAGTGTATGTGTGCGTGTGCGTGAATCCGACAGTAAGCAGCCTGGAAAAACACAGATCTAGTGCAACCTCCTCGGTTGCAAATGAGAACCAGGAGGTCCAGACAGGGGCAGAAGGCCCCAGAGCTGGGTTAGTACCGAGCCAGTGCTAGGGGGCGGGGCTCACCGGCAACTCGTCTCACCGCCTGCCATGCTTACCAACTGTCCTGAGAGTGCACGGACAGTCAAGCCATGCCAACCTCCCAGGCCACCAGGGCCCTTTTCTTGGGTTGCCCGAAAGGCTAATTCTACTGAGCTGGCTCTCTCTGGGGACTAGAGCCCAGACCAATGGTGGGCACAGCGCAGGACATGGTTCTCTCACGTGACAGCTGTGCGCCTAACACATTTCAGCGGGAGGATGGGAGATCCCTGGCCAGCCAGGACAATTCTCACCTAGGGAGCTGTACAAACAGATGCCTGGAGCCCACATCTGCCTGGAGACCGATCTGATTAACCTGGGGTGTGGCCTGGCTGAGGGGGATGTGTTAGGGCACACGAGCGAGCAGGCAAGACCAGGACCATCTGTGCCTGGAGAGGAGCATGGGCCCTATCCAGCCCACTGGCGTTTGTGAATGTTCTTCCCGGGACACAGCCATGTTCAATCCTTTCCATGCTGTCTGCGCTGGGTCACGAGGGCAAAGATCAGTGGTTGTGAAAGACACAGCACACGCAGCCTGCAACATCCCAAGGATTTACTCTCTGGGCCCTTCCAGAAAAGTCTGCTGCCTCCCTTGCTGGAGACTTCTCAGTCTTACAGTAAAGCTCTTTTTCCTGAGGGAGTGTGTGTGTGCGTGCCCGCGTGTTGGGGGCATCATCCTCTGTGTCACAGGACTCTGAGGGCTGCACATGTCCCAGCATGCCCAGCGTCCGCCCCAGCCTGCCTTTTGCTCAGGGGCACAGCCTTCCACTCCCGCCCCCACCACCTGCCCCACCCTTAGCACCGTGCGCTGTACACACACCTAGAGCCCTTATCTCCCACTGTCATAATCCACAGAGCGCGGTTCTGCTCAAACAAAGCAACCGTGTTTTCCAGCAAAACAAACTGTCTTGGAACATTCTGCTGTGTACTTTCTGCAAGGCAGGAGGGACGGCATAGCCAGGCAGCGGGAAAGGGGGAGGTGGGGGGGAGGACGAACCAGGTGACTCACTCTGCAACTTAATTGTATTAAGGAAAAAAGTCAACACTGCAAATAAGCACGGTAATCAGAGGGCAGAGCTGCTCGCCAGAGACTGGGCACGTACCAGAGCTGCGCGGCGATCACCGGGTTGCTCGCTGTGAAGGAAGAGCAGACGGTTAGGACGTCTTGGAGGGCCGAGGACAGACAACGCCGGGACGGGGACTTCAGCCACCCCAGGCAGATCTGCTCCCCGCCTCCGATTCGCTCAGCCATCGTTCCTGGAGCACGCATGCGCCACACTGAGAAGCATGTCAAGGTAGAGACAGAGACAGCGCATGGCGACGGAGGGTGACAGCAGCACGCGCCTGCGCGGAGCGGAAGCGGAGTGGGGGACGAGGTGCGGCTCGTTCAGCTACACGCTGTCCCGTTTGCAAAAGCACAGCGCAGAGAGCATCATGGACCGCTTCACAGAGAAGCTGCTGGAACTCCAGCTGGAACAATGTCAGTAGAAAGGAGAAGAAAGGAAGCTGGGAAGACCAGCAGGAAGGGAAGAGGAGGGGGACCTCTGAGGACCCCTCTTGGGGCCTCCAAGAGCTCAGACGCCATGTGGGGGAGTCAAATCATAGGAGGCCCACCTCTCTCAGCCACAGCCCCTCCTGGGGGGTCTCCCTTTGTTGCTTGTAGGGATGGAGCTTGCTACTGTCTCAGCACAGATGTTGTTATCTGTGGAAAACTCTTCCTTATTTATACGAGGCTGTTTCTGGACAACCTTAACCCACTGAGCTATACACTGCACTGCTCTCCTCACGGAGGTGACAGCCCCAGGAATAGAGAGAGCCCCCCCCAATCTCCTCCACTGCTGCAATAACCCCCACCCCAACTCCCCACGCACCCCCTTCTCTGCAGCCACCACACATCCTCTGGCCACTCTGGGAGGCGAGGCCACCGTGGGGCATTTCCCTCCACTAACGCAGCTGGGGATTCTGGCTGCCATGCTACAGCGCTGCTGGTTATAAAGAGAGAAAACCGTTGGGGGGGGGGGTGAGGGTTCCAGAGGGGCAAGTGGAGGCACTGGATTCCACGGAAGCCTGCCACGTTCCGAGCCGAACCAGACACCACGTGGAAAGGCCACGGCACACCAGCAAGACTGAGAAGGGACTGAGGGCTCAGAGTACTGGGACCCGGCTATAAAAAAAGAAACCGTGCGGTGCTGACCAAGGGCCCTGAGTGGAAGAGCAATTTAGCATGGGAAGGGAAGCGCCATGGGATGGGATCTAGAGGCTGGGTCTGCACAGACGTGAGCCCGCCTGCTCAGCCACAAAGTCCACGGCAGGTCCCAGGCCGCACACAGGCGTGGGCCACAGCACTAACTGATAAAGCCAAGGTTCAGGCACCCTAGGGCCGGGTATGTCTGGGGCAACTGTAGGCACCTGAGCCAAATGTCTTTGCTTTAAAAGATTTATTTGGTTTTAATTTGCAAGGAAGTGGGGGCAGGGGGAATCTTCCAGCCACTGGTTCATTCCCCAAATGGTTCCAACAGTGAGATCTGTGCCAGGCTAATGCTAGGAGCCAGGAATTCCACCCAGGTCTCTCATATGGGTGGCAGAGGCCCATGTACTTGGGCCATCATCTGTTGCTTTTCTAGAAACATAAGCAGGGAGCTGGCTCAGAAGTGGACTGGCCAGGGCTCTAACTAGCATCTCATACAGGATGCCGGCATCCCAAGTGGTGGCTTAACCCACTGCACCACAACGCCAGCCTCCTGTGTCAAGTTTCTGTAAGTTCAGGGCCAGATCTCCAAGAAGCATGAGACTGACATCTCTGTTGGAAACTGCTGGAGGAGGCATGAAGAGACTGTGCTCCAAGACACGCCATCTGCTGCAGGCAGGGCGGTGGGTGCCAATGACATCGCGGAGGTCCCAGGGCTAAAAGCAAAGAGGCTCATGGAAAGCACCGCAGAAAAAGGGGGAGAAGCACACGACCACACTGGGGAAAGACCAAAGTCAGGAGGACAGCAGAAGCCTGAGTCCCATCCAGAGACTCAGAACCGTGGAAAGCGACCACGCAAGCTCCGCACAAGCTGCCTGTGCCAGCTCCGCGGGGGTCCCCCCGCCCACACCGTAAGGAAGGAAAACACACAACCTTTGAACGTGGAATGTCTCCGGGAAGGGTAACGTTTACTGGGCTTCCTCTCGAAGGTGCTGCTTCTGCGTAACCTGGCGCCGTGCGTGGCCTGGTATTCTGTCCGCCCGCTGTTGAGGTAAATGATATTTCATCACGCGTTACCAAACCCAGAATCTCGGTACGTATACAGCCTGGAAAGTGAGCCTGCGTTTTTCAGGGCTCTGGTGGCATTCTTCACCTGGGCTTGAACTCATCTGATTAAGACACACACTGCGTTTAAACCTTCCTCTTGGAAACACAATTTCAGTCGCGAAAGCCAGGCCATTATAGGGGCAGATATTTCCGCCAAGGCACAACACCTGCAGTTCCGGAACCAACCACTCGGCTGCACAGAACTAGCTGGTCTGAGGATGTGGCGCGTTTGACTAAAAGAACGCTGCTCAGCACAGAAAACCACTTCCAGGGGACACACTGGGGAGACATGCAGCTCCCGCTTTATAAGGCAGTTGGTTGTCAATGACCGCTGAACTAAACCCTGGCTCTCCTGGCGGTGCCAAGAGAAACAGTGCCATGTCACAAGGCTCACCCAGCCGCAGGCTCCAGGACAGGTGCGGTTTGGTGTGCCCTTACCCATTGCTGCTTCATTCCGGTCTCTGCAGGCTTATGACTGACCAGCTGGGTGGCACTTGCCACCTGCTCCGAGGGCCTCCACAGGGCCACCTCACCCCAAACCCCCTTCCTTCTCACCCTTCTTGACGAGCAGAGAGGACACCTGGGTACGCCAGATCTGGGGGAAGCTTCCTCCCAGGAGGGGAAAGCCTGCAGTGGCAGCTACCCCGACACGTCCTCCAGCCCACACGCACGTGGCAGGCCGCTGAGTGTCGCACAAACCTCTGCAGTCCTGACATTTCCCACCCTCTCCAGGACCACCCTGTGATTTGATTCTTTCTCAAAAAGGATTTGCGTCTTTTTCTTTCCACCCTGGAGCAGTTAAAAATACATTCCAAGAAAATAACCCTTTAAACAGCGGTGCACAGCCATTTCCTTGCAGAGCTGCTAAGTGTGGAATGGGTAAATCTCTTGAGTTTTAAACAGAGTTCAGGGACGTGCCATGTGTGGGTAGAGGTTACAAACCATGCAGCTTTCGATCTTTTAACCACGACTCAGACCTGAACAAGTGCCCCAAACACCTGTGCCTTTAAAATGTACACTTCCTGTCTGAAATGTATGTACACACCCATAGATTCTGAACAAACAGGTCAGATAAGCGCACAAACTCTTAAATTTTTTTTGAAAGGCAGAGAGCGAGACAGGAGAGACGGAGAGCGCCTACCTGCTGGTTTACGCCCACACCCCACATCAGAGTACCTAGGTTCTAGTCCTGATTCAAGCTTCCCCTTATTGCACACCTGGGGAGGCAGCAGGTGACAGTGCAAGGAGTTGGGTCCTGATGGCCCGGATCATGGTTCCAGCTCCGGGCTTCAGCCTGGCCCAGCCCCAGTTGCTGTGGGCATCGGAAGACTGAACCAGCTGACAGGAGTCTCTGTCTCCTTGCCTCTCAAATAAATTAAATTTTTTTTTCAAACAGAAATCCTACAGAAGCGTCAGACTGTCCAGGATTGAATCCCTATCTCAACTGTACCCCTTACTGGCTGTAGGTGACTTTGGGCAGCTTGTGGGACCCTCCTGGCCCTCGTCTCTTGGTCTGTAAAATGGGCACTGTCCTGTCTACCTCATTAAGAGGCTGCTTTAAGGACGAAGGGTGGCTGCCTGGCACAGCGACGTCCTAACGCACTTTCCAGGATGATGCTATGTCCTGTCTGCCTTGGCTGACTCCTAGCCACAAGCTCGTGGGGCTGTAGAGTGCTCACAACAAGGCTGGTGAGACTGAAGAACCATCTTTTAAAATGTACTTAATATGCGTTCATTTAAACAATCACTTGTGGCTAGCGACTCCTGTAGCAGACAGCATGGCTCTAGCCAAATGGGAGCCTCGGGACTCCGACACACACACGCACGCACACACGCATGCACGCACGTGGCCCCTACCTGAACCTGAAGCGGGAGCCCAGCCTGATGAATTCCGATCTGCTGGACTTGCTGTTCCCTGGCGCCCGCAGCCGGAAGAAGGCGTGGTGCTCGACCGCACACTTCCACAGGTGCTTGCAGGTCCTGGCGCTGTCCAGGCGGAACACAAACGTGTGTTCCTGCTCACGGCCCTGTGGGAGAGGAAGCACCAGGTGCTCAGCCCCGGCATTGGCGGCTTCAATGTGCGTGCGCGCGTGGGTGGGGCAAGGGCAGCAAAGGGGAGAGCGTGCCTACCTGGTCGTCGTCCTCAACCACCACCAGTGTCAGTTTGCTCTTTTTAAAATCCATTTTGGTAATTTTAGGCCTGGTCAGAGAGAAAGCACTGTAAAAGCATGGTCTGCAGTGAAACCAGCCACACATCAAACACCAGTTTCCTTTCTACTTTTTAAAGCCTTGATTGGCTAAGAAAAAGGATCATTCATTCATTGAAAGCGTGATTGCTCAGAGGGTTCAGCGCAAAGGCCACACACCCACAACGACAACAGTACGGCGTGCTTTCAGAACGAAATCGGGGTGTTGCAAATATGCCTCAAGAATCATTCATCACAGAGAATTCCACCACAAAATAGGAAAAGACATTTTTAATATTAGACAAAACTAAATTACCAAAAGAATAAGCCTATTTTGTTAGCTCCTTCAAAGATTAATATGCCTGTCGGGGTCAGTCCAAGAGAATATTCACAGCCATCTCTTCCCTACAAACAAACGAAGTGACAGTCGGTAGAGGGTTCTAACAGGTCGTCACACAGCACAGTGCAAAAACAGTTTCCTCTCCACAAGTTACTTTGCTGGCACGCTGTTCACACAGTTCTCAGCGACAGCAAAAGCGCGGGGCTGGGCCGGGCTCGGTTCTTACCCTGACCACGTGCATGTCCACCCCGTACATTTCCAGCCACTTCGCCTTGTTCAGGTAGGACAGTTCCGCCTGGGCAGGGCTCTTTCCCCTGGGAGAAAGCAAGGGAAACACGCGTGAACAGCCACAGCGCCGGGAAGGGCACGGCCGTGCTACGGGAGGCTGCGCGGCAGTGAAAGCGAGGAGGGGTTCCAGGGGACCCTTTCACAGAGACACCCCCAAGAATGTACCAGTAATAGAAGGGAAGGAGCACAGATCAGTGCCTGGAACAGGATCCCTTAAGGACACAAGGCCCCGCTGTCTGTGTGGGGGCATGCATGTACATGCAAAGGGACAGGCTGGGAGAGAGCAGGATAGGCTGCTGCCCATGCTTCCTGCAGGGGACGGAGAGGGAGAGGGAGAGGGAGAGGGAGAGGGAGAGAGAGAGAGAATGAATGAATGAATGTGTGTGTGTGTGTGCATTGGGACGGATGGTACCCACACACTTCTACATTGCTTCAATGTTAGGCAAGAATGCACTAAGGGGGCGGGGGCTGGTGCTGTGGCATACTGGGTAAAGCTGCTGCCTGCAGTGCCAGCATCCCATATAAGTACTGGTTCGAGTCTCAGCTGCTCTGCTTTTGATCAAGCTCTCTGCTATGGCCTGGGAAAGCAGTAGAAAATGGCCCAAGTGCTTAGGCCCCTGTACCCGCCTGGGAGACCCAGAGGAAGCTCCTGGCTCCTGGCTTCAGTTCGGCTCAGCTCTGGCCTTTGCTGCCATCTGGGGAGTGAATCAGCAGATGGAAGACCTTTCTCTCTCTGTCTCTGTCTGTCTCTCTCTCTGTGTCTGCCTCTGCCTCTCTGTAACTCTGCCTTTCAAACAAATAAATAAATATTTTTAAAAAATGCACTAAGGTCAGAGGATGGGAAGACAACAGGAAGACATGCTAACTTCCAGGGTCCAAGGGTGACTTGAAACAGGCCATGCCTTGGGGCGATGGGATAGGAGGGAGAAAAGGTTACTCTCTGGGAATCCCAGTGTGTGCCAGGCAATGTGCGTGGTGATGGGGTGAGTGTTGAGATCTGAGAGGTGAGCAAGGAACATGGAGGGAAAAACCAGAGAGACAAATGGCATAGTGGACTCAGGCCTCCTAACTACCATTCCTGCTACAGCTTCAGCTGTGAGCGCCCCACCCAACAGTGCTGAATGAGGTCGAGTATCCCTTATCCGAAGTATTCTGCATTTGGGATTTTGGAATCCTGGCATATACATAATGAATTATCTTGGGGATGGACGCAAATTAAACACAAAATTCATTTGTATTTCTAATATACTTTGTACACACAGCTTGAAGGTAATTTTAAACAATACTGTTCATGCTCCTGCATCTCTGCTGTCACCCGTCACAAGATCAAGTGTGGATTCTTTTTTCCTATTTGTGGCATCACATTGGCCCTCAAAGAGTTTCAATTTTGGAGCAGACGGATTTTTAAATTAGGGATGCTCGACCTGTGTTTCTAAAAGGTTTGCTCTAGAAGGTTCAGGTCGTGGGGTCGCCAGAGACACAGGTGTGGGCAGTGCTTCCTCAGTGCCCACACCTGGGGTGTCCCCAGGACAGCAGTGGCCCCCCACCCCCAGCAGCCACAAGTCCATCAGACTCAGGCTCTGCAATTGAGAGGGAGTGGGGGAGGGGGAGGGGAAAAGGGGAAGGAGAAGGGGAGAGAGAATGGTTCAGTTCCTGCTGCACTGTCTCAAAAGAGAGAGGATGGGTGGGCCTTGGGAAACAGGACTGAGGCACAGGCGAGAAGGAAGGATCGGAGCTGCAGTTTTAGTCACCGACAGAAAGCGATTCTACCGGTAGACGAGAGACAGTGACCAAAGCGTATGCACAACATAAATAAATCTATTATCAGGATGCAAGGCAGTCACATCAAGGTACCTGCACTCTTTCCACCTCTGGAAGATATCGAATTCCATTGCCTCTGTCTGATTGGGAATGAACCGAAACTCAGACACCAGCTCCGGCGTGTGTTCTGGAAGCTCGCACTCTCCAAGCTCCGCTGCAGATTTCATAAGAGGGAGGAACACAGGAGACACTGAACGCTTTCTGTTATTGCCGCAGGCAGGTCCAAAGGCATTTTGCGTGACTGTGAAGCACAGGTGCCCCCTTAGGCATCTCCCTCTCCTTTCGGGAGGATTTACCTCTCGCCTGGTAGCCATTTTTACACTCGGAACCCCCAGGAACCATTCCAGTGCCCTCCCCGGCGGGCCATACACCATCATCTCAGTTATTACTGTCTCTCCTTCCCAGGGAGGCGTTCACTGCATTTCCCAGGGAACTGCAATGGCAAGGAACGAGGATCTGCTCAGAAGCAGCCCTTTCCCAAGGCTCTCGTTAAGGACGCACACTCTCTGCAGTGCCAGAGCAGATGGAGCAAGAATTCGGCACAGGTAAAATCAGAGAGGGGGACCCGCGAGGACAGGAGGTGGGGTGAGAGGGCTGCGGCAGCAACTGCGCGCGTCAGGTGCAACCTGGGGGGAAGACACTTTTTCAGAGCAATCCCAGCCGAATGCCCAGCTTCTACTGCCAGGTCCTTGCTCCTACCCTGTCTCCCACAGAATGAAGGGACCAAGGGCACGGATGTCCCCACCCGCCCAGATGTGAAAAAATCCACACTCTTTACCCCACCCCCACTCCCACACTTCAGCTCAGGGATAAGACCCTGGAAAGGCAAGCTCCAAAAGGGTGGTCCACAGAGCAAAATGCGAGACCCCCAGGCCCCTTTCCTGACCAACTGCAACACCACCTGCCTTTTCACAAGATGCCCAGATGATGGGTGTGCAGAATGACCTACTGGGATCCTGACAACACGCATCACTGTCCCCCACCCCACCCCCAGAGCTGCTGGCTCCATAGCTCTGCAGTGAGGCCTGAACACCGCATTTCCAACACATTCCCGGATGATGCCCACACAGTTGAGCTGGGCACTGCACTTGGAGGACCTGTGCGACCCTTAGCCAATCGCACCAACCAACCAGCGGCGTCCACTTGAACCCTCCGGGAACAGCAGGCCCCACGCCACCCAGCTGCCCTCTTTACCTCCCCACCTAGGCCGTGCCAGCTGTGGCCCAGACTACCGAGCACCTCATGCCATGGCCTGTTATCCCAGGAGAGGGACCCCAGCTGGTCTGCGGGAGAAGTCCCTGTCCATCCAGAGGACACAGTGATGCTAAGCTGGGAAGTGGCCGGGGAGCCCTGACTGGGACAATGTCTGACGCCGAGTGGGGACTTGGTGACTCTCTCTTCATCTCAGTGCAGCCCCTTGCCTGCACCAGCAACCCTGAATTGGACTGCACCCCAAGAGAGTCCCTGGGTATGAACCACCCTTGCCCTGTACCCACAGGGCAAAGTGATGCCACGGGGCCCCGCGTTCAGGAGTGAGTCTGGACGGGGCAGGATTAGCCATGCCACTGACGCCATCAAGCAGTGGAGGGAGAAGTCAGGCAACCGTGAGGTTTCCTGGAAGTGTTCAGACCGGGGCCGGGGGCATGCATCCCACCTCACCACCCCTGCACTAACCCAGGCCCAAGTGAGGCCTGCTGCCTTCCAAAGCTGCCGCTTCACTGTCTACAACTCCCTGTTGTGACCCCAGCCTGGCCCCAGCCCTGGGGACACTTTACCACCCTGGGTCTTGGGTGCCTTTATCCATACAAGGGAACCGGTACAAGGACAGAACATGACCTTGAGCATGCACCAAATGACTGTCTCATCCTTCCTCGTCCCCTCTTTGCCTTTTCCCCTTTCAGCTGGCTGCACTTTCAAATGTACCATACATTTTGCTCCCCAAAGAGCAGAGCCTCCACGTAAGGTCGCTGTACCCAAATTCACGAGGGCCCCATTAATTCAGGGACAGGGCAGCAAGACACGGCCTCAAGGCTCGAGCATGGGAGGAAACACAATCTTTCATTTTATTCAAACCCCCAGAGGAGCTCCCGTGATCTTTGGAGCCCAGGGCCAGCTGGCTCGGCTGCGGCTGAAATGACAGCAGGCTACCCATGGGATGAGGGCGCGCAGGCAGGCACGGCTAACAAGAGCTTCCCTGTGTGTCTAAGTCTTCCACGTCTTTCTTTGCACCTGACATAACGCTTGCATCTTCAATTATGCCAATGTTGTGGTTCCGGCTCTAACAGGCAACTTCTCTAAGAAAGGCTTACAGATGGCTGACCTTCGTCTCGTCTGAGTTGACTCTGGACTCTGTCTTGGCTTTGCGCGTGTGCAATGCCTTCACGGTGATATGTGTGCCTCATCCTCCGATCATTCAGGACAATGCACAAGCCTGCAACACTGTTCCAGTGCCTCAGGGGGCAACCCTGCCAGGTTATTAATGGCCCCTGACCTGACACAGGTGCTTCTGTCCGCCAACTACACCCCAATGTCTACTGCTGGGCCACCAAGCCCGACAGCGTGAGCTCTGGGCAGCTCAGGAACTCGAGGGTGGATAGAGACCTGCTTGCTACACTGTGAGATCTGGATCTCAGTGGAGAGGCCACCACTGGGTTCCCTCAACTGCACATAGCCCAGGACACTTAACCTAAGGAAACACAGAAAGGTAGCACCGAGCAGAGCACTGGGCACAGACGGCAGCTGATGGCGTCACCATCACATCCCCCACCAGTGCCTTCAGACCACACCAGGAGGTCTTTAACAAAGCAGGAGTTTAACAAAGTCCTCGGGGGGTCTCCCCAGCCTTATTCATTCCGTACTTATTGAGCACCTGCCAGATGACAAGGCCCTGTTAGATAACAGGAATTCATAGGTGACGAAAGAACAGACACATCAGGCAATGGGAGTCTCCTGAAGTCATTAATAATCATCTTTGTGTGTATAAAACATGATAAAAATACTAAAAGAAAAGAAATCATATAAAACACCTGTCTGTGGCTCTGATCAGAGTTACACTGTGGGCAGGACACTGGGCTACTGCTTCCTTCCTTCCAGTCTTCCAGTCACACGGCTGCTGTGCTGTTATCCTGATACTCCGTGACAGGCGGGTACTGATTTCAGAATTTGCAAAAACATCTCAGGTCAACTTTTAAAAACTGGTAAGCTACAAAGTGGGAAGCCAAGTCTAATATGGTGGGCACAGATAACCCACTAATTATGAATGACTACAGCGTCGTAATGATCCAATAGAAGCCAAGGAGCCCACGACAAGCCCATCTGACGTGCTACTGAAATCCCCTACATGCAGCTACTGCAGAAGTGTTTCTTGTGCATTTTAAACTATGGTCTGCTCCACCCAGGTGAGAAGAGCAGAGGCTGACAATCATGCAGGCAAATCTGCCGTCAGCCGGTTCTCACCCCCGTGCTGGCGACCCCGCCAGTGCTTCTGGCCTGACCTCTCTGACCCAGACAGATTCAGACACCCAACAAGCTGCTGGGGGCTCCCCTGAAACCCAACTCTTCCAGTCTACCCACTCCCTGCTGCCTCCTCCCACCCTGGGAATCCTCTCTCACTCCTCTCCCAGTGCCCCGGTCTCATCACCTATCCTTCTCCTCATCCTGCCGATGCTGTTCCCTAGCAGGTGTGGAACTCCCTGCCCGAGCCGGTTCCCTCTGACCTCTGTTACCGCAACAGCTCCTCACTGTACCCCAGCCGGTCTTGGTCCTGTTCCAGGGCCCTGTCCCCGCAGAGCCAGCGCAGTCTGTCCAAAATGCACACCTGCCCAGGCCTGCCTCCTGCTTCCGAGCCTTCGGCAGCACCGCGGCTGGTCACACGAAGCTCCCGCTCTTCACGGGGGTGTGAACTTGCACCCCGCGATGCTGCTCGGCTGCTGCTCCCTGCTTGCACCTTGGCTTTGGGCCTTGGTCCCCCGAATCTCCTCCCTCTCCTCAGTGCCTCAGGAACCTGTCTTTTCTCCACACCCCCTATGCATTTCTGCTCCTAGAAGGACAGCACCCATCTGTCTGCCTTCCTCACGGACTGTGCAGCTGCTTCAGGTCACAGATTGGGTCCCATTTACTTGGGTCTCCACAGTAGCACTGGGCCTGGCACACACTACACACTCGTTTGTGGAGCTGAAAAGCAATGCCTGTAAAATGCTAACGACTGCCGAAGATTGATGTACCTTGCAGACAGAGCGCAGCTAATTCCACAGCCGTTTCATAGGGGCACTTCAATCTTGAAAGAAAGAAAAGAAATGAATTCTAAATAGGAACTTAAGTCATCATAACCATGCAAAATGTCATTAAAATCATTTTTCAAAAGGCAGTTGTATTTAGACAATGACTTTTGTTCTCAGTAGTTTATATTTTTGCTGTCACATGAAAGAATGCAAACAAGATCACTTACACTACAAATTTCCCAAAGTCAGGTCTCATCATATGGCAAAATAACCCAATTTTGGTATGTTTTCTATCACCCATGTGGGTAATTTTACTGAATTTGGCAAGAATGGGGAAGTTTGGAAACCAGAATGAAAAGCACTCCCTTAGCTTTATAATTTTTAAACTTACTTAAAATTTATCTTGACACAGTACATGCATGCCTCTTTTTAAACTGCCTTAAATCTTTCTGGAAACAAGGCCACAGTGTTAAAAATAAATGCACGGGTCCCCGACACTGCTTCACTCAGTACTGGAGTAAGTAGGGCTGAGGCATAGCCACAGAGGCGTTCTGCCGTAAACCAACACGGACTCATTCACACTTTGTATTTCAGAGTTACTCAGAAAAATAATAATGACATACATCAGTATAGCACTTCATAGTTTTCAAAGCCTCTGCATATTTATTATCCAACGTGGTCAGTGCATGGCAATTGCAGACCCCTAGGATGAATGTGGCCAGTGCTCCCCATCTCCCACTTTACAGATGAGGAACTGAGCGTGAGGCTGGGACTAGGTCACCCTTCTCTTTTGAAGTTTGGTAAACCAGGCTGAAGCATACACAAACTGCAAAGTACTGTACAAATGCAAGGTGCGTCATTACTATTTTTCCAAACTGAAGACAATCTCTACAGTTACGAGGCCTGTAGATGAGGAGCACAGTATGGAGAGAGAGAGAGATCAGAGTACACACACACTCATAATACGCACACCAACCAAAGGTCTGTATTGCATGGCTGAATAAGGCAAATGTATACACTGTACAATCCACATGTTCTATGGTGTTTTGAGAGTTTGCAAATTTGGAAATTCTACTTCAGATTTCCTTCTGATTATATTCAAAAATCAAAATGTATTCTTGTCAATAATATCAGGTATTACTTTTTAGATTCAAGATGGCCTTAGTTTTTCATGTAATAGAAAATATTCAATGCATATGCTGAAAAAAGATACAATGGTAAAAGCTGTGACTGCTGAAATCTCCTATCTTTAAAATAAGTTAATATTGCACCCAAAATCAACCACTTCCATGCCAATGCTGCTCACGCTCAATAATCATGGTATATAGCCAGAGGCCCAATATTTGAAAACCAATTTTAAGAGGGGGAGAGGAAATGAGATGAGATGTCTAAAGCTTTTCCTATGGGAATCAGAACATAACCTCTTTACTTAAATGCAGATGGGGATGAATGAGACTTCTTGACCGTCCAAATACTTGTAAGTGTATACATACCAGTAATGTATCTTGCTTGCAAATACGACAAAAGCCATTATGAATCGGGCAGGGATGTGATCGGGGACAGAGTTATTCCCAAATACACATCACTTAAGATAGTAAATGCTCTTGGAAATGCTTCAAGCCATAGAGTAATCATTTAGAATAGGATGATAATGACAGTGATACAAGTATTAGACTCACTTTACAATGCCTGGTGCACTTTTTGTGAATTTCAAAAAGGGAACAAGGGTACAAGAGTTAAAACAGTGAGTTATTTTGAAATATACTATGATCTATCCTGGATTAAGAATTAGAGCAAAAACATACTTACTTTCCAGAAAGAATGTCATGCCTGAGTTGTAAAACAAACAGGTACCTGACAAACATATACAAAAGTCAACAGAGGGTAACCCTTTCCCAGCCGCTTTCAAACCCCAGCTTCCCAAGGCAGAGCCCACCCTGCACACAGCCTGGACGTGTGCATTGTAAACAGGGAGTCCAAATCCAATGAGAACTTTGGTGGAAGCATCTCCTCCTGGGTCTCCAGGAGGGCATCCCAGAACCTGGCTGGGAAGGCGAGTGCATGTAGGGATTCGCAAGATACTTGGGAGGATGGAACATGGAACACTACACGGTCCAAGGGCGGCCCCGCAACCCCCTTGGTGCTGGACAAGAGAGCCAGACAGGCACACAGAACTTGCACACAGGCACGCGATGCGCCCAATGGGCAGGCTGCGGAGGCTTCCGGATCTGGTTCTCTGGTGGCTCCACCAGGAGATTCCAGAATGCTGCAGCTCACTGCAGTCAGTTACTGCTCCAGGCTTTTTTCGCTGGTGCAGTTTAACTGCAGACACTCTCTTTCAAACAGTAAAACACTCACACAACACACCAACACACACACACACACACACACACTCATGAAACAGGAAAATCCTGGATCTGGACTGCAACCAGTTACAGGAATAAGAAAAAATGGGCAGGAAGGCAGCAAATATCACAGATGGGGTTTATTTAGGTAAAACAAACAAACAAACAAAAAAAACCCCACAAATGCCTTGGCTTAAATATATATTTTTTAACTAGGAGAATGTGGGCATCAGAACCACTTCCAGTGCTTTATAAAAACTAAAGCTGCCTGCGCTCTACTCCACACGTACGGAGTCAGAATCCTGTATGCAAGAGTGGCCCCCAAGAATCTGATTTGTGCAAAAACTGCCCAGCTGTCTCTGATTCACTTAAAGACCACTGGCTTTGGTGACAGCTGGCAGCAGCACATGTCTTTAAGAGCACCAAAGAGGAACTCTAGAATAACTTAATTTGAGCTTTGGAAACAATGCAAGCAGTTACTTTCTGCAGAATGGAGAGAACACAATGTGGGTGACCCAGAAATCAAAGGCAGGGGAGGACTGCAGGTTCTGGAATGTCCCTGCTTCCCAACAGGTGCTTCACAGCCTTTGAACTGTGCTGAAACTCAGGATACTACCTTATGCACTCCCATCAAGGGGGACCGGGGGCTGATGTGGCCAGAACTTCAAATTCCCTCAAGAAAACCTAACTCTCGAGGTCCCGTAGCCCCTTCCATCAGGACCATGGCAATGGCCTTGGGTCTCCTGTCATCTCCAAGCTAGTGACCGCTGCAGTCCATCACCCAAACAGCAACGAGGAGTCTCCGGGGCTACCCAAGGCAGAAGGAGCTGGCAGAGAATTTCATGGATGGCAGGGTGGTTGGAGAGGAATGCCACACATTCAAAAATGTTGAAGTTCTCCGTATCCCACACTAAAGGCAGCCATAACATAAAAATGCTCAGTGTGGGCTGACAGAAAACATGAAGGGAATCTCACAATTTTGTTGTAATTTGCTGCAATTTTGTTTTAAAGACAGGCTTCCTTCCATTGTAACAACTAAGGGAATACTTTGTAGTTCCTTAAAAAAGGTAATTTTGGACTTAGAAACCCTCTCCTACTAGTTGCCTTCCCTTTCTGTAGCTGAAACAAAATGTCATAGAATAACCAACCAACTTACCCAAGATCCAGGAAAACAAGTGTAACAAGAAAAGAAATCTAATTTCTATTCCCTAAGAACAAATGTCAAATTAGGCAAAGTGCTGGATTTTCAAGAGAACACAGAAACACAGGAAAAGGGTAACACCACTTGCTCAGAAGCACAGACAGCAGGCCCTGGAGGGGAGGCAAGCCCACGATTTGGAAGACCCAGAGATCACAGGCCAGGCAGCCGCCCCTGGGTGGGATCTGGCTCTACATCGTGTCCTACCTTGTAAACTCTTCACGCAGGTTGTTCGGTTCTGAAGAATAGTACTTAACTCGGAAGTGCAAAGCGTAAGTAGGTCCAACTACACGTGTGGAGACAGAATGGTTGAAGATGTTTTTCCCCAGTTTTGAAGAGCACAGGATGGACAAAAGGACAAAGGCATTAAATCTAAGACATATTCACCATGACACTGGGAGGGCATACATTGGGCAGACCAAGTCAGAGCATTCTTTTCAACCCTAGCGTGGAAAGCTGAAATGGACTTTGGTGCTGATGGGTTGAGAGGCACCCTCTTTCTGGAAGAAAACCATACAGATCTTGGTGAATCACCAAGAACTCAATTTCTTTTTTTTTTTAACCTCTGATCCCAAAAGACTCACTTGAGACCTGCTTTGTAACAGAGAAGGCTAAAGGCAAGTGATAACACGAACAGCAAAGTATCTGTCACCTTAAAATACAGTAAAGATCCCTTATAGTACAGTCACACCCCACATAATGACTTTCTAGTGGATGGACTCTATGACACTATATTCCATAAGCCCACCTGGCCAGCAGGCCATACTCTCTAGGTTTCTGTAAGTATGTATATACAACGATGAAGTCATCGAATGATGCGTTTCTCAGCACACAGCCATGGCATTAAGTGATCCGTGACTGTACTTTTAAGAGACTATAAAATTTTTCAAATGGCCCAAGCATAAACAACATTAAAGAAACGTGGTTGCCACACAAATGAGAAAGCTGGACGGGACTACTGAAGGAGTCTACTTTGAAACTCACTGGAATGTGAACATAGCAGGTGTAAAGTTGTATTCCTGAAGTGTATTAATTAGTTCTCATGGGTGTGTGCAAGTGTGTCTGATCGCAAATGAAAGCACAGTCAGGTTTTCAGCATCTGCTAAAAACTCTTCAAATTCTAAACTAACCTTTGGCCAGCTTACCCATCCATCGAAAACCCGGTGATCTAAAATGCTTCCACATTCCAATGAAAACACAAAGACCTCAAAACATGGGCAAAGGACGTGACTCACAGAGAAAGAAAATGAATGAGGAAGGTAAATTCTGCTCACTTACTTTTCATCTGCTTCTTTATGGGTTTGGAATGATCCAGCCAGTGCTGTAAGAAAGAAAACACTGCTTTAGGAACAGTTAGCGGGAGATCATGCAGGCCAAGTAGTTACCATGCTCTGCGAAGGTTAGTAATTCTACTGGAGGGAAGACACCAGGGATTGGCCAGGCCATGAGCTTTCAGGTTGGGGGATCCATAAATTGCTTGGGGTGACATAAAAAAGTACATTTTTTTTCCTGGGGTGAAGGTCCACAGTTTCCCCTGTTTTTTTTTCTTTTATTGAGATGCCTGAAAGAACCTAAAACCCAAGCACTAACTGATCTCTGAAGTCCCCTCCAATTGGCTGAGCCACCCATTTGCCTCTGCCTTCTGAGTGTCTCACGTTTGGCTCAATCTTCCCTGAGAATTCCCAATCGCCGCTCACCTAGCCCAGAGTACAAGTCAGGGCGCCAAGCATCTCAAAACACCGGGTCTGGTAGTTCTGTTGCCCTAATCCCTGAAAGTATGAACCCAAAACACATGGTCTCTTTCTCCTCTCACCAGGAAAAATCACCCATGCTGCAGACCCAAGGACCGACACGGATCTGCTGAAGGTAATCTCACTTTGCTCAGTGTAGGCATTCCACCTGTCTCTAGCTCTCACCAGGAGAAGCACTTCAGTCTCATCCGTCTCAGACAGAGCTGGGGAATGTCCGGCCCCTGGGCCGTCTAAGGCCCCCAAAATCATGTGGTCTGACCCTGCCAAGGCCACCACAGACGGGACTCAAAATTCAATACGTCTGCGGTGGGCTAATTTTTTTTTTTTTTTCCGCCACGGTCGGCGCACCGCGCTGACCCGATGGCAGGAGCCAGGTGCTTCTCCTGGTCTCCCATGGGGTGCAGGGCCCAAGCACTTGGGCCATCCTCCACTGCACTCCCTGGCCACAGCAGAGAGCTGGCCTGGAAGAGGGGCAACCGGGACAGAATCTGGCACCCCGACCGGGACTAGAACCCGGTGTGCCAGCGCCGCAAGGCGGAGGATTAGCCTAGTGAGCCGCGGCGCTGGCCGGTGGGCTAATTTTTAAGTGGCTAATTTTGTACAGCTCACCAAAGTTTTAGGAAAGTGAATCAGATGCTCTTGATTTGGGATGAGGCTATGTCAAACTGGAAATATCCTCAGCCCCAAATGCATTCAACGTGTCTAATCCACTGCACAGCACAGCTTAGCGACACAGGGCACTGCCAACGCCATCAACTCTTTCCCCCGCAACCGTGGGGCTGACCAGAAGCTGCCTGCCCGGCCTGGGGAGAGAGGATCACACTACAGATCCCCAGTCCAGGAAACAGCAGCACTTGGGGGGCTGGTGCTGTGGCGCAGCGGGTTAATGCCCTGGCCTGAAGCACCCCATATGAGATACAGCTGCTCTACTTCCGATCCAGCTCTCTACTGTGGCCTAGGAAAGCAGTAGAGGATGGCCCAAGTCCTTGGGCCCCTGTACCTGCATGGGAGACCCGGAAAAAGCTCCTGGCTCCTGGTTTTGGATCGGCATAGCTCTGGCCGTTGCAGCCATCTGGGGAGTCAATCAGCAGATGAAAGACCTCTCTATCCTCCCCCCCCCCCCCCCCCCGTAACTCCTGACTTTCAAATAAATAAATAAATAAATATTAAAAAAAAAAAAAAAAAAAGGCTGGCGCCAGGGCTCACTTGGCTAATCTTCCACCTGCGGCACTGGCACCCTGGGTTCTAGTCCCAGTCGGGGCACCAGATTCTGTCCTGGTTGCTCCTCTTCCAGTCCAGCTCTCTGCTGTGGCCCGGGAAGGCAGTGGAGGATGTCCCAAGTGCATGGGCCCTGCACCCACATGGGAGACCAGGAGGAGGTACCTGGCTCCTCACTTCAGGTCGGTGCAGCACGTCAGCCGTAGCAGCCACTTGGGGGGTGAACCAACAGAAAGGAAGACTTTCTCTCTGTCTCTCTCTCTCTGTCTAGCTCTGCCTGTCAAAAAAAAAAAAAAAAAAAAAAAGCAGCATTCAGATGACGGCTTCTCCCACCAGTGTGCTGCCTTCTCACCATCCTAAAGCTGAGAAATCGTAGGTCGACAGGGGCCCTCTGCCCTGTGAGCTCTTTCTGTGTCCAGGTACTGGGCATAAAGCGCTGCCCAGCAGGGCCTTGTTAGCTTCTTGAGAAATACATGCTACATATAATAGTTCATTTTTAGAGATTTATTTATTTGAAAGGTGGAGTTACGGAAAAAAGGGATGGACAGAGAGATTGTGTGCATCCACTGGTTCACTCCCTAAATGGCTGCAGCAGCCCGGGCTGGGCCAGGCTGAAGCCAGGAGCCAGGAGCCTCCTGTGGGTCTCCCATGTGAGTGGCAAGGGCCCAAGCACGTGGAACATCCCCTGCTGCCTCTCCCAGGCCAATAGCAGGGAGCTGGAGCGGAAGTGGAGCAGCTGGGACGTGAACCGGCGGCGCCCATATGGGACACAGACGTCGCAGGCAGCAGCTTTACCTGCTACGCCACAGAGTTGGTCCTGATAGTTCTGTTTTGGAAAGAGACAAGTAGGGACTTTCCCCACCATCTTCCACAGACTCAGCGCATGTGAGCACTTCACAGTCGGGAAAACATTTGGGATGACGCAGCCAGGCAGGGTTTCTCACTAGCTTTTCAAAACCACAGGCCGTTCTGCCCGTGTTTCTGCCGAGTGTGCCAGAAGATCCTCAGAAGCAATCCCTACTTGGCACGTTCCGGCACCGGGAAGGGCGGGACGGAATTAGCACTGTGTACTGTACACCTAAGCAAAGAGCCCATTAGACCGCGTGGGAGGAGGTGGGTAAGGAAACACAAAAGCAAATAACAGAAGAATTATAATACAATAAGCTGCGGGCATGCAATGGGAGCGCATGGGCTTTTGTCATCTCTACTCCTGGCTAGGCGACCATGTAATAAAAGCCGGGATCATCGCAGGCAGGATGCGTATCTCAAAGGCGCAGGGCGGCATGCTTTATCTCATTGTTAATAGCTCTGAATTGGAAATGACCTAAATGTCCATCAACAAAGCAGGATTAAAAAAATGGCTCATCCATTTAATGAAACGCTCTTTAAACCAATGTAGGCCTATCTTTATTGATGTGGCCAGAGATCCACAGTGCATTGTTGGATGGGGGAAAAAAGAAAACCTTTAGAAAGGATCTCATTTATACAAAATTGTTAATTTTTTATCAGACAAGTCCAGAGGATTTGTAGAGGCTACTTGGTGATGGCTGGGCTGCAAATGCTGCTCTTTTTCTTTCTTTCTTTTTTTTTTTTTGATTTGTTTTCTTGTGTAATTTTTTTTTTTTAATTTATTTATTTGAAAGGTGGAACTACGGAGAGGAAAAGAGATCAATCTGCCATTCACTGGTTCACTCCCCAAATGGCCCCAACAGCCAGTCCTGGGCCAGGCAGAAGCAAGGAGCCAGAAACTCCATTTGGGTCTCCCATGTGGGTGGCAGAGGCCCAAGTACTTGGGGCATCTTCCGTTGCTTTCCCAGGTGCATTAGCAGGGAGCTGGATGGGAAGTGAAGTGACCAGTACATCAAGTAGCCCTCAGATATAGAGTGCCGCATTTTAAGAGGCAGCTTAACCCTGCTGGCTGCAATGCCGGCTCCTCTGCCTAATTTTTAACTGTAACGAGAACATCATTTGCAAGGGGGTGGGCAGGGCTGTCACTTCCATATTCACTCCCTGTTTGCCTGTCTGGCAGTTTTCTGATTGTGAGTTTTCGAGCTTTAGGTTTCACCACTGCCCTGGACCCCCAGCGTCAGCTTTGGGAGGGCAGACACGGACTCAGCGTAAGCATGGAACTCACCTTCTCCCCAAGCACCGCATCAGCAGCTGAGCGTAAACCTGTTCCCTCTCACTCCCACCCCCTCCGAGTGAATGCCATTGGTAAGAGATGGGCCCCTTCTTGCCCTTCTCCCTGGCCACTCAATGTTTTCAACAGATCAAGTTTAAGCCCACCCTTCCTCCCCCTCCACCATCAGACTCTAAGCGGATCCAAGTACCGTCAGTGTGGTTTCCTGGGCCGTGGTTTTCCACCCTGGCTGTACGTTATTACCATCACTCGGGAAACTTTTCAAAAGTCAATACCCAGGCCCCACGCAAGACTCAGGAAACAGAATCCCAGGGCTTCAGCGTTTCACAAACGCACCCAGCGTGCCAGCTAAGTGTTGGGTTCTGGAGTTTTCTGCATCCTCTCTTAGCCAGGTGATCTTGGGGGCCCTGAGACACCCACAGCCCCTTCTGCAAACAGCTGTTAGGATTTCCAGGCCAGCCCAAGAGGTGAGCCAGCCAGACGTCTGTGGTCAGCGTTAACCCACAGGTGGACAGTGCGGGCAGCTGACTGCTTCACTCTGGGACGGCTACTCAACTTGCAAGGGGGTGGGGAGCCTCTTTTCTGCCAAGGGCCATGTGGGTATTTATAGCATCATTCTCGGGCCATACAAAACGATCAACTTAAACGTGAGCCTCCCGTATGGATGCATTGCGTTTTGAGTCCCTCCTGCGGCTGCCTTGGCAGTGTGCCAGACCAGATGATTTCGCAGGCTCCACCCTGCTACACAGAGCCCAGCCCCAAGCAGGTAAGGCCAGAACAGAGGAGGCCTGCGAACAGCCCGGGGCTCGCTAAGCTCAGAAAGCAATCAGAATCAGCAACATCATTTTCAAAACTCCTTGATCCCCTGGGGGCTTCTAGGTCAGGTTTTGTTTGCTTCCCTCAGAGGTGATAAGAAACCCAGTCAACTCTCCTAAATGGACTAAGATAAAATCCATGCTGCACCAACCACTGCAAAGTGACCCCACTTTCTTCCTAGCTGCAGGAGCCGGCCTGCCTCTGATCACTCGTGCTTTACCTGCCTAGAGACTCCAATCTGGGGGCAACCCAAGTCCAAGGCCGTGTTTAGTGAGTTGGACCTTATGCATGCCTTTGAGGGTTTTATTTAGCAGCGGCAGGAGCTGCCTGGGATGTCCACCTGTGTCCTGGTTAAATATAGCCAGGCCGCCAGCCGGGAAAGGCTGGGGCAAACGG